TAACCAGTCACCTCACAGCTCACCTCACCGCTCACCTCACCAGTCACCTCACAGCTCACCTAACCAGTCACCTCACCGCTCACCTAACCAGTCACCTCACCACTCATCTCACAGCCCACCTAAACAGTCACTTCACCGCTCACCTCGCGGCTCACCTAACCAGTCAACTCACCAGTCACCTCACCGCTCACCTCACCAGTCACCTCACCGCTAACCAAACCAGTCACCTCACCACTCATCTCACAGCCCACCTAAACAGTCACTTCACCGCTCACCTCACAGCTCACCTAACCAATCAATTCACCAGTCACCTCACCTGTCACCTGACCAGTCACCTCACCAGTCACCTCACAGCTCACCTAACCAGTCGACTCACCAGTCACCTCACGGCTCACCTAACCAGCCACCTCATCACTCACCTAGCCAGTCACCTCACTGCTCACCTCACTGCTCACCTCACAGCTCAACTAACCAGTCACCTCCCCGCTCACCTAACCTGTCACCTCACCAGTCACCTCGCCAACCACCTCACAGCTCACCTAACCAGTCGTCTCACCAGTCACCTCACGGCTCACCTAACCAGTCCCCTCACCGCTCACCTAACCAGTCGACTCACCAGTCACCTCACGGCTCACCTAACCAGTCCCCTCACCGCTCACCTAACCAGTCGACTCACCAGTCACCTCACGGCTCACCTAACCAGTCCCCTCACCGCTCACCTAACCAGTCGACTCACCAGTCACCTCACGGCTCACCTAACCAGTCCCCTCACCGCTCACCTAACCAGTCGACTCACCAGTCACCTCACGGCTCACCTAACCAGTCCCCTCACCGCTCACCTAACCAGTCGACTCACCAGTCACCTCACGGCTCACCTAACCAGTCCCCTCACCGCTCACCTAACCAGTCGACTCACCAGTCACCTCACGGCTCACCTAACCAGTCCCCTCACCGCTCACCTAACCAGTCGACTCACCAGTCACCTCACGGCTCACCTAACCAGTCCCCTCACCGCTCACCTAACCAGTCGACTCACCAGTCACCTCACGGCTCACCTAACCAGTCCCCTCACCGCTCACCTAACCAGTCGACTCACCAGTCACCTCACGGCTCACCTAACCAGTCCCCTCACCGCTCACCTAACCAGTCGACTCACCAGTCACCTCACGGCTCACCTAACCAGTCCCCTCACCGCTCACCTAACCAGTCGACTCACCAGTCACCTCACGGCTCACCTAACCAGTCCCCTCACCGCTCACCTAACCAGTCGACTCACCAGTCACCTCACGGCTCACCTAACCAGTCCCCTCACCGCTCACCTAACCAGTCGACTCACCAGTCACCTCACGGCTCACCTAACCAGTCCCCTCACCGCTCACCTAACCAGTCGACTCACCAGTCACCTCACGGCTCACCTAACCAGTCCCCTCACCGCTCACCTAACCAGTCGACTCACCAGTCACCTCACGGCTCACCTAACCAGTCCCCTCACCGCTCACCTAACCAGTCGACTCACCAGTCACCTCACGGCTCACCTAACCAGTCCCCTCACCGCTCACCTAACCAGTCGACTCACCAGTCACCTCACGGCTCACCTAACCAGTCCCCTCACCGCTCACCTAACCAGTCGACTCACCAGTCACCTCACGGCTCACCTAACCAGTCCCCTCACCGCTCACCTAACCAGTCGACTCACCAGTCACCTCACGGCTCACCTAACCAGTCCCCTCACCGCTCACCTAACCAGTCGACTCACCAGTCACCTCACGGCTCACCTAACCAGTCCCCTCACCGCTCACCTAACCAGTCGACTCACCAGTCACCTCACGGCTCACCTAACCAGTCCCCTCACCGCTCACCTAACCAGTCGACTCACCAGTCACCTCACGGCTCACCTAACCAGTCCCCTCACCGCTCACCTAACCAGTCGACTCACCAGTCACCTCACGGCTCACCTAACCAGTCCCCTCACCGCTCACCTAACCAGTCGACTCACCAGTCACCTCACGGCTCACCTAACCAGTCCCCTCACCGCTCACCTAACCAGTCGACTCACCAGTCACCTCACGGCTCACCTAACCAGTCCCCTCACCGCTCACCTAACCAGTCGACTCACCAGTCACCTCACGGCTCACCTAACCAGTCCCCTCACCGCTCACCTAACCAGTCGACTCACCAGTCACCTCACGGCTCACCTAACCAGTCCCCTCACCGCTCACCTAACCAGTCGACTCACCAGTCACCTCACGGCTCACCTAACCAGTCCCCTCACCGCTCACCTAACCAGTCGACTCACCAGTCACCTCACGGCTCACCTAACCAGTCCCCTCACCGCTCACCTAACCAGTCGACTCACCAGTCACCTCACGGCTCACCTAACCAGTCACCTCACCACTCACCTCACAGCTCACCCAACTAGTGACCTCACCAGTCACCTCACTGCTTACCTAACCAGTCACCTCACAGCTCACCTAACCAGTCACCTAACCAGTCACCTCACAGCTCACCTAACCAGTCACCTCACAGCTCACCTAACCAGTCAACTCACCGCTCACCTCACCAGTCACCTCACCGCTCAGCTCACCAGTCACCTCACCGCTCACCTCACCAGTCACCTCATCACTCACCTCACAGCTAACCTAGCCTGTCACCTAACCAGTCACCTCACCAGTCACCTCACCGCTCACCTAACCAGTCACCTCACCAGTCACCTCACCGCTCACCTAACCAGTCACCTCACCAGTCACCTCACCGCTCACCTAACCAGTCACCTCACCAGTCACCTCACCAATCACCTCACAGCTCACCTAACCAGTCGACTCACCAGTCACCTCACAGCTCATCTAACCAGTCACCTCACCGCTCACCTCAACTGTCACCTCACCGCTCACCTAACCAGTCACCTTACCAGTCACCTCACAGCTCACCTAACCAGTCAACTCACCAGTCACCTCACAGCTCAACTCACCAGTCACCTCACCGCTCACCTCATCAGTCACCTGAACAAGTCACCTCACCACTCACCTCAACAGTTACCTAACCAGTCACCTCACTGCTCACCTAACCAGTCAACTCACCAGTCACCTCAGCTCAACTAACCAGTCAACTCACCAGTCACCTGAACAAGTCACCTCACCAATCACCTCACCGCTCACCCAACTAGTCATCTCACCAGTCACCTCACCGCTCACCTAACCAGTCAACTCACCAGTCACCTCACAGCTCACCTAACCAGTCAACTCACCAGTCACCTTACGGCTCACCTAACCAGTCACCTCACCGCTCACCTAACCAGTCAACTCACCAGTCACCTCAAAGCTCAACTAACCAGTCACCTCAGCTCAACCAACCAGTCACCTCACCGCTCACCTCCCCAGTCACCTGAACAAGTCCCCTCACCGCTCACCTCACCAATCACCTAACCAGTCACCTCACAGCTCACCTAACCAGTCACCTCACCAGTCACCTCACAGCTCACCTCACCAGCCACCCTCTGTTTGTATCTAAATGCCCAAACATCTGCATAAAGTCTGCATAAGAGCTTGTTTTGTAAAAAACTCCAAGTCATTTTCAGTACTGACTGAGCAGCAGCTGCATGTTCAGTATCACACAGAACACTGAGCAATAAGGAGCAGGAGCAGAGGTGATGAACATCCTGCTGCACACACAAGTTTCAAATGTGTGTGTTTGGGCCGACAACACAGTGATAATTTGTTTGGTTCATAGAGACACAGTAGCAAATCAAAGTGAAGCTAAGACCATCCTCCAGACTACTGCAGATATTTATAGGAGCAGTGTGGAGACTTTAGTGCCATCTAGTGGTGAGGCTGCAGAGCACCTTTCCCCTCACCCCTTGCTTTCCAAACTTATAGGAGAACCTACGGTGGCCTCCAGGTAACATAAAAACAAAAAGGGCCCTCTCTAGAGCCATTGTTTGGTTTGTCTATTCTCAGCTACTGTAGAAACATGGCGGTGCAACATGGCGGGTGGAACACGACCCGCTAGATATGAAGGGCTCATTCTAAGCTAACAAACACCCCGCGATTCTTGGTGTCAGGTGACTATACACTAATGAAAACATAATTATGAACCTTGTATTCTATTGCTTCCAATAGATCCTACACATTTCTACATACTGGTCCTTTATCTGCTGGTGATGCTGTGATTTAAACAGGCAGTTTATGACTGGGAGCCTGGTTACATATAATCATTGCAGCTCTAGTCTGTGTGTGTGTGTCTGTGAGTTCAGTGCCTGGCTAGTGACATTGGACCCAGCTCTGACCACTCTAGTGAGCGATGTTGCAGGGGAAGCAGTGGGGCAAACATGGGAAGGAAGTTAAGCTTACAGGGGGTTGAGGTCAGACCTGCATCCTGCCATGAAAGTTAGTGGACCAGACAACACATCATTGTACCAGCACTGCCTGGGATGTAACAGCACCATAAATTATTAATAAAACTCCAAATGAGGCTGCAAATGTCTGAAACCCAGTTCTATCAAATAAATAGTTAAGGAAAGTTATAAAGTTATGACTTGACCTCCTTCTACAACTCTGCCAAACTAGTCACTGTTAAGTCATGTGTCTTATTGAGGGTCATTTACAAGAGATAACTCATTTGGACTTGATTTAACGTGTTCTGGTTCTGAACATGTGCAGACAGGGTGCTCAATCAGCAACTACACCAAATTATCTGGTGTAAATTAGAGACTGTGATGTATCCATCCACCTCTGTTATTTCAAAGCGATTATAATATACCTTTCCTCTGATGCCACTGCTTCTTAAAATGTAAAACGTGGCACAGGACACTGGAATTTCTGTCTGATCAGAGTTAGCGTTGAGTCTGAATACAGAGAAATAGACCAACAGGCTAAGATGACAACAACAATGATGATGATGATGATGATGATGATCAGCATCAAGGTATGGTAGTGGTTTCTCACAGTACCAATGAAAACACTAGCAATGAGTGGGCCTAACCCTAAACAGTGTAGAGGCCTTACCCAGGTATTTGATGGTGAATCCCCGGGGCGGATTGAGGGACCTTCGCATCCATCCCTCCCTCAGCACCTCCAGGTGGTCCTCCTTCCCCTGGATCAGCAGCACATGCTCGTCTATCCAGCCCAGGAAGAAGGTCTCTGACACAGCTTCGGTAATCCGCTGGTTCCACACATGCTGCTGGGTATTTTCTGCTTTGAAATCAGCAAAAATCTCATAGCCGGTGTGGTGCCTTGGCAGCTCGTCGCTCTCTGACACCCCGGCCGCCCCCACCGCCTCCCCAGCCCCGACCCTGGACAGCACTATAGCCAGGGAGTGGGGAGCTATCTGCAGGAAAGACTCCATTATCGCGTCGGCCTTCTAGCTGTCTGAGGAAAGCAGTGGTCTCATTGCATTTACCGATGTGACACACCGTGAGGCTCAGCGGGAATCAGACCATCCATGTTAGCTAGCAGGGTGTGTAGCGACAAGCTACGCTCTGCAGACTACCGCTGTGTTTCCATGAAGCTAGCCCGCTAGCCCCCGAACCTCACATCAACCCCATTCCCGGTCCGTCTTCTCCTCCGGACGTGATATATCGCTCCGTTACCGGTCCCGGTGTTTACTACAGACTCATGTGAAGCGCTGTCCACCACAAACGGGAGTTGACATTCGTGCCTTTCGGTGTAAAGCTCGTAGTTCCGTACGGTACCTGGGACTACAGCCAGCTAGCTGGATGCTAACGTGTTAATGAATTCACCCAGGCAACAGATGCGGCCAGCCCCCTCCGCTCGTCGCCGGGCAGCAGCCCGGTCTCGTGGGACACCTGTATGTTTTTTTTTTGTTTGTTTTTTGTTTTTTACCACCCTTCAAGGTTCACAGGAGGCGAGGTGTCTGCAGCCGCGGGAAGACAGTGTCGTGTCTCTGGCCTGGCTCGCTCCGGTCCGGTGCAGGGAGCACGGCAGGATGCAGGACGGTCTCATTCAGGTATAGTGATGGCAGCGTCGGTACGGAGCTGCGTCAAGACGGGAACGACGTGACGACACCAGCTTCCGGACAGACTGTCAAATTAAAACTCACAAAGATTACATGCAGCCAGCAGTACGACAGAGTATTACCGCCACAATAAGGTAAAAAAAAAAAAAAAAGAGTAATCTGAAATTTTGACAATGATGTCATGATATTACGAGAATAAAGTCGTCATGATGTAAAATTTCGAAACTTAGAAATATTACAATAAGCCAGTCTAACAGGTAAAAGGACAGTCAGTTGTTGTCTGAACGGCTTCTGGCAGCTGCTGTTTGTCTGTCTAACAATAGAATAGACTCAGTTTCTTCACAGTCTTTTCAATGTCCTGATGCTGATGATGTGGACAGTTATCTTCTGTCCATTAACCAACAAAGCTTTAAAATGCTCAAGATATTTGTCTGACTGTGGGATTTGAACTGTGTGACATTCCTGAATAACTAACTGTTGTTGTTGTTGTAAATCCTCTTGCAGACTATTTCAGAAACACATACCTCTGGCCAGTGTAGATTTAACACAAGGGCCTTCATCAGTGAAGCAGAACCCACCTTAGGGTCTTCATCACATCAAGTGATACTGAGCTTTTTTACAGTATCATAGTCCCAGATTCCCAGACACAGTTACTGTTAATATTACCACAAACCAGCTGTCACACTGTCAACCTGGGGCTTCTGGGGCCCCTAATTCTTCTGTCTTATTGCTGAAATAACACTAATACAGACAGTAGTACATATGGTTAATATGGAAAATATTATGAAAAAAAGATGCATTGAAGCTGTAAAGTACATTTCCACATTTTAGATCATATGTCATGATCAACATCAGAAATGTATTTGATGATAGCATCACAGACTGAATAAGATTAACCAAACTTTCAGCAAAAAAAAAAACATGAATAGAGATTTGTTAATCATCCTTACATTAACAGGAAGTTCAATCTCTACATTTTTAAAATATGTTTTTAGTTCGATTTTTATGACATGAGAGAGTTGTCTTATTAACCTTTACCATTACTTGCTATCACTACATCTCTGTTACTACTGATCCACTTCCTGCACATCCCACAGATGCAGCTGAGTTGTCCATGGATAAGGATCATATAAGTGTTATCAACAGACACTGATGTCTCTTGAAGACCGTCACCAGAGGGAGCTCTGCTCCTGACACATGAGCAGGGAAGTGAACAGACTTCAGTCTGGTCCACCTGCTGGACCGGGTTGAGGGCTGGGATCTGTAATGTTTCCTTTTTTAAGAACAGAAACACATCGATTGTGAAGCTGGCTGCCTTTATTGTGGCCATCTTGGTGCATGTGTTCTCACATTTGTTTCATTTCCTCAGTTAACTTTCTACATGTCTCTGTCCCTTGAGCTGTTTTTATATATCAACACATTGTTGTATTGTTCCCCATTTACAGAACCTGATGACTCATGAAACAACCTGCTGATTGACTGACTGACTGACTGCCTGACTGACTTACTGTTTGTAGAACCTGTACAACAAGGATAAGCTTCAAAGTCTATAGAAATTGTCATAAAAGCTCAAATTCATTCCACTGACTAAAGCTCTGCTTCATAGTAAGAGTACGTCATAGAAATGTAGTGGAGTCAAAAGTACAATAATTGTCTTGTACTGTATATTTGAAATGTAGAGGAGTAAAAGTCATAAGTTTCCCAAAAAAATAATACTCAAGTTAAGTACAGATACTGGAAAAACTTACTTAAGTATAGAACTCAAGTAAATGTACTTAGCTATTGTCCATCTCTGAGATGCAGATGGATGCAGGTGCAAACCCGGGGAAGATTGACAGGGTTCACGGGTTTGTGAAGAGTGTTATGGCCTCATGTGTTCATAGTTTAAGTGGCAGCCTTGTACCTCACCCTCACATAAGGTTTGATACACCTGAGCTTTTGTTGCGTGATGGACTTCAATTCAGCACCAGGAGAAAATATATTTTAAACAGTTTTTCTGAGTCCATTAAAGCTCAACTTCAGCCACGGTGAAATTTTCATGTGAGTTTGTTCCACAGTGTCTTATGTGATGAGTGTTATTTTTGTTAATATAGTATTTATTTAATGTAACACTTGTGGTTCAGTGTTGTCAGCTCTGCTCTTCCTTGTTCCCTACAGCCTCTTATCTTATCCCCTCACAATCTGTCTCATGGTCTTTAACTCTCTGCCTCCATGTCAGACATAACTCTGACAAATTGTCAATACTTTAAAACATCAGCGTTCATTCTTCATAGCTCTCAATCATTACAGTTTATATCAGTGTGCTGTTCCAAAAGCATCACTTATTTAGAGAGGATGTTACTGGGGCAAATTGGGGCAAATACTCCAGTGATCACAGTGAAGAATCTGTGAATATGAACTGACTTCAGAACAGCTTCTCTCACAAACTTTGAGTCGGCTTCATATAAACACACAAAAGGACTCATGATGAAGAATGGTTTATACTTGTTACTAAAATAATGTTGCAGATTCAACTGCCTGTTTTATTATGCTTAACAGTGAAATTCACCTTTACTTTCATCCACAACTGTAATGTTTGTTTTATTATTTTTTTAAGTAGTCACAGTTGATTGTACATTTCATACTACAGTATTTAATTCATCCATTTATTACATTCTTTTATATACATCAATCCACTGTTGTAAATTGTTGAGGTTAATGTTTTTAATGTGCCACAAAGGTATCAATGAAGCTTCAAGTTTGTTGATATGGTCTTAATCACTTTTCTTAAAGTTATTTCTAGTTTAGTCATTTTAGTTACTGGATAACTGAGGTGTGTTGAAGCGTGTTATGACCTGGCTCCAGTGGCCACAACAAAAAGGAGACACACCAAGGTTAACGATGAATAAACAACATTTTATGGATCCGGATTAAACCTAATTATAGTTCGAATTTTTTTTTTAACATAATGGGGCTTGGTAAAGTCAGCAGTGTGTGGTGCGGATGAGTGAGGAATATGAGTGTGGGTGTGGTAAAGGTGCAGAGAGGGAGTGGTTAGTTTGCAGCCATTATTTATATATCATGGAGTTACAGATTAGTAAAGGATCCAAACCTCAAGAGGTGGTCTGTGGACACCAGTGGTCCACGATAGATTTGTTAAAATATCATGTTTTGAATTTAGTGTTTCTCAAACTGTCTGAGTGACCACAAAGCCTGGTAGTGTGTAGTGTATGTGTTGTTCTCAATATGAAATCAACTCATGCAAATTCAACCATCATTTGAATCAGTTGTTTTGCAGTGTTGTTGGACTTCACTGTAACCAACCGTTTTGTGACACTGTCTACTCACGTAGCTATATCAGTTTACATGTTCTATAATTTACATGAACAATGATCAGCGTGACATTTGAAAGGAAATGTGGATGAACCTAACAAAATCAAATTAAACTACAGAGGTCCTGAAAGCTCAAAGCACTGCAACTTAAGAAAGGTCACCTGAGGGTGTAAAATGAAGGCGTAGTCCTAACCCCAGCCGCCAGGGTTCAAGTCCAACTTTACAGGGTGAGGTCACGACCTTACTTTATTAAAGAGAGAAACATACGATTCCCACAAAGAGCAGCGCCTGGTAACGGGGGAGGAAAAATTCCCGATAAGAAGAAGAAATCTCCAACAAAACCAGACTCGGGGAGAGAAGAGGGATACAACCTGTGGCCCTTTGCTGCACATTATCCTCTTTTTCTCTCTCTCTCTCGCTCTCTCTTTCTCTCTCTTTCTCCCTTCTGGGACACACTTGTTGTTCAGTGCCCAGTTGTGACTTGTGAAGTTAAAAGCATTGAACATCAAGTGTGTCCCAGCAGGTTCATCACTTTTTATTGTCCCCTGGAAACACTTCCTTTGTGCTGTGAGTATCTGCAACTCATGTGCTGTCAAATTGATGAAGATGTTTTCTGAATTGTTTACATGTGTTTTCTTAAGTTGCAGTGTGTTGAGCTCTCAGGGCCACCGTAGGAAACCTCCAGCACAATGGACACAACAAACAAAGTGCTGTGACCTGACACATGTGGTTGATAATTGAAATTTTGTTCCAGCTGACGATCTTCTGCACAAGCTCATCACAATACTACAGAAATATTAGGCCCAAATGGTTTGGGGATGTTTGGGAGTTGTGAGTTTGATTTTAAGTGGCCTCACAGGAGTCAGAGGTCAGACAAGTACGCCTCTCTGTCAGATAACAGCTTTCAGTATTTATAATATTCCAGCAACTGGAAAACACATATGACTGACCTGAAGTAGAAGATCCTCGACAGTGTGTAGTATCCCTTCAACTTCAAGTGAGCACAGCAACAAAACAGCAGTTTGCAGAGGAGCAGAGACACATTTACAGACTGAACA